GGGAGCTCCCCAATCCCCTGATTGTCCTGCGGCTCTGTGTTTGACAGGGTGTGGCGCACCAACCCCCTGATCGGCCCTGCTCTGTGTGTGACAGGGTGCGGCGCCCCAACCCCCCTCACCCTCCCACGGGCCCTGCTCTGTGTGTGACAGGGTAGAGCCATAACCTCTCCATCAGCCCTGCCCCGAGTGTGACAGTGGCGGCGCCCCAACCCCCTGATCGGCCCTGCTCTGTGGGTGATAGAGGGTGGCGCCCCAACCCCCCTCCACGGGCCTTGCTCTGTGTGTGACAGGGTAGAGCCATAACCTCCCCATTGGCCCTGCCCTGAGTGTAACAGGGTTCAGCACCCCAACCCCCTGATCCGCCCTGCTCTGTGTGTGACAGGGGGTGGTGCCCCAACTCCCCTATCGGCCCTACTCTGTGAGTGACAGTGGGGAGCTCCTCAACCCCCTGATCGGCCCTGCTCTGTGCATGACAGGGGGCAGCGCCCCAACCCCCTGATGGGCCCTGCTCTGTGCATGACAGGGGTTGGCGCCGCAACCTCCCCATCGACCCTGCCTTGAGTGTGACAGGGGGCGGTGCCCCAACCCCCCAATCGGCCCTACCCTGAGCGTGACTGAGGGTGGCATCGCAACCTCCCGATCCGCCCTGCTCTGTGCATGACAGGGCGGCGCCCAACTCCCCAATCGGCCCTGCTCTGAGCCTGACCAGGGGCTGCACCTAGGGATTGGGCCTGCCCTCTGCCACCCGGAAGCAGGCCTAAGCCAGCAGGTCGTTATCTCCCGAGGGGTCCCAGACTGCGAGAGGGCACAGGCTGGGCTGGGGGACCCCCCTCCCCCTCCCCCGAGTGCACAAATTTTTGTGCACCGGGCCTCTAGTCTATATAATAAAAGCCTAGACGACCAGAATGACCAGTTACTATGATGCACACTGACCACCAGGGGGCAGACGCAAAACGCAGGAGCTGCCCCCTGGTGGTTAGTGTGCTCTCGCAGGGAGAGCACTGCTCAGCCAGAAGCCAGGCTCACCGCTGGCAAGTGCAGGGGTGGTGGTGGGAGCCTCTCCTGCCTCTGCAGCAGTGCTAAGGAACTGGGGGAGCGGGCCTAAGCCAGAAGACAGACATACCCCGAGGGCTTCCGGACTGCGAGAGGGCGCAGGCTGGGCTGAGAGGAATATCCCCCCCCCGCCCAGTGCATGAATTTCGTGCACTGGGCCTCTAGTTATTAATAACGAACTACAACGTTCGCTAATGACTGATTACTATAATTGTGTTGCATTCATTTCTCTTACACGCCTTACGTGCAGGCACACCATTTCTCTCCACTAATACTAACAGCGAATAGTTTAGCAGCTGATTGCCACGTCATTAGCCTTGTACTGACTTGTTCAGTGTGTGCAACAGGAAATATTTCGCTTTTGGCGAACAAGAAAAATAGGTTTATTTGCGTCATGCTTATTAATTTGTGCAGTTATTCAGTGTCTGGTAAGTTAATGTTCAAGAAAAAATATTTTTTATTAAAATGTTCTATTTTTTATGTTAACGATGACTCATTTATTTCAGTCCTTTGCATTCAGCATGTCTCTGTCAAATAAACCTATGTTTCTATGAAAATGGAACCTTTGTTTCTTTTGCAGCCCATGTAAACTTAAACTTTGTTTATTTGGCTGTGTTAGCCTTTGAGTTTGACATGCTTGGTGTACAGGATGACAGTCCTGCTGACTGAGCCACAGCAGCCAGGGCTATCTATCTATCTATCTAATTATTTATTTATTTTAAATATATTTTTATTGATTTCAGAGAGGAAGGAAGAAGGAGAGAGAGACAGAAACATCCACTAGGAGAGAGAATCATGGATCGGCTGCAAGTCCCCCACTGGGGATCGAGCCCACAACCCGGGCATGTGCCCTTGACCAGAATCGAACCTGGGACCTTTCAGTTCACAGGCCGACGCTCTATCCACTGAGCCAAACCGGCTAGGGCATATTTATTTATTTTTAAAAATATATTTATTGTTGAAGGACAGAAAGAGGGAGAGGAACATCGATTTGCTGTTTCTCTTACGTATGTATTCACTGGTTGATTCTTGTATGTGCCCTGACTGGGGAACAAATCCATAACCTTGGGAATCGGGATGAAGCTCTAACCAACTAAGCTCCCAGCCAGGGCACATGAATTCTTTCAAATTAGTGTTTTGTGTTTCTTTGGATAAATTCCCAGAAGTGGAATCATTGTGTCATAAGGCAGTTCCTTTTTTAATTTTTTGAGGAAACTTCATACTGTTGTCCACAGTGGCCGCACCAATCTGCATTCTCACCAACAGTGCAGGAGGGTTCCCTTTTCTCCACATCCTCCCAATACTTGTTTGTTGATTTGTTGATGTTAGCCATTCTCACAGGCATGAGGCTGTATCTACTTGTGGTTTTAATGTGCATGTCTCTGATTAGTGACATTGAGCATCTTTTCATCTGTCTGTTGGCCATCTGTATGTCCTCTTTGGAGAAGTGTCTGTTCAGGTCCTTTGCCCATTTTTAAATTGGATTGCTTGGTTTTTTTGGTGTTGTGTTTTATAAGTTCTTTATAAATTTTGGATATTAACCCCTTACCAGATGTATCATTGATGAATATGTTCTCCCATTCAGTGGGCTGTCTTTTCATGTTGTTGATGGTTTCCTGTGCTGTGCAAAAACTTTTTAGTTTGATATGGTCCCATTTGTTTATTTTTTCTTTTGTTGCCCTTGCCCAAGGCGCTATATCAGAAAAAAACATTGCTACAAGAAATGTCTGAGATTTTACTGCTTATGTTTTCTTGTAGAATTTTTATGGTTTCAAGTCTAACATTTTAGTCTTTAATCCATTTTGAGTTTATTCTTGTGTAAGGTGTAAATAGGTAGTCTCATTTCATTGTTTTGCATGTATCTGTCCAATTTTCCCAACATAATTTATAAAATAGACTACCTTTACCCCATTGTATGTTTTCTGTCTCCTTTGTCAAATATATTAATTGACCATAAAGGCATGGATTTATTTCTGGGCTCTCTATTCTTTTCTATTGATCTGTGTGTCTGTTTTTATGCCGGTACCATGCTGTTTTAATTACTATAGCCTTGTAATATAGTTTGATATCAGGTAGTGTGAATCCTCCAATTTTGTTCTCTTTTCTCAAGATTGCTGTGGCTATTCAGGGTCTTTTTGTGGTTCCATATAAATTTGTGGAATATTTGGTCTAGTTCTGTGATCTATGCCATTGGTATCTTGATAGGAATTGTATTGAATCTATATAGATTGTATAGCTCCATGAATTTAATGTACAATATGATATTTATTGTGATTTGTAAGTTATTTACTTAACAGACAGGAAAATTTGCACAGATACTTTTGCATAGGTTACTCTTTGGGTAAAAGTAAGTTCCTTTTTATATCTTGTATTATAAAATTAGCTTTTCAGTCTGTTTTAAATTAAGAAAAAAAGAGCTGTGCCTCTTTTGTGACTAATATTAAGAAGGTGATAGCCTTTGGCTTTCTGCCATTGTTAAAGTGTGATATTATCAGGACAGTATGCTAATGAGAGGCTGTATGAGAATTTTTGTCCTCAAGTATAATATTAAAGATGGTTGTTTTCTTAATCTGATAGGAGTTGTATAAATTGTAGTTTTATAAATTGGTTCAGATTTGTTATTAAAATAAAGCAGCCAGTAAAACTGTGCATGTGATATTGCCAGCTCTTCTGGGCATGAAGTTTATTTTTGTGTAGATCTTACTATTTGAAATAGAATAGTAACGGCTGGAGCTTCAGGCTCATGTACGACGGAAGATCATTGCCTGCAGGAATTAAATGGCACCCCCAAAAGTCTATTATTAATTGTTTGCATGCCATCGTATAGCAAGAAGAGAGGAATCTCCTAGTTCGTATTTTATCTATTAAATTTTGTTTTATTGCTTAAAGTATTACAAAGAATATTACATATGTCTCCTATTTTTCCTCCCTTGACCTTCCCCCGGTCTCTCCTACCCCCAGTGTCTTGTGTCCATTGGTTATGCTTATATGCATGCATACAAGTCCTTCGGTTGATCTCCTAGGTCAGTGGTTGACAAACTGCGGCTTGCGAGCCACATGTGGCTCTTTGGCCCCTTGAGTATGGCTCTTCCACAAAATACCACGTGCAGGCACGCACGTACAGTGCGATTGAAACTTTGTGGCCCATGCACAAAAGTCGGTATTTTGTGGAAGAGCCACACTCAAGGGGCCAAAGAGCCGCAGTTTGCTGACCACTGTCCTAGCTCGTATTTTAAACCGCAATGGAAAGTCTCATTCTTAATCTGATTCTGTGCTCTCTGGAACTTGGGAACAAAGTTCTTTTCCGTTGCTCTGGGTCCCTCAGGGTGTCGTCACAGTGAGAAATGGTCAGACTGCTAGCAGGGCTTTTTTTAGACTGTGTGGGACCAGGAGTGTCCAAACTTTTTCAGAGGAGAAAAGCACTTGGTAAGCGAGATTGTGGAGGTAGGAATCTAATAAAATCCTCACAAATCTGGATTCGTTATGGAAAAGTCAGTAATAATTTAAAAAATTTGATCCTTTGTGCTATTTTTTATTCCACCGAAAGAATGAATATTCATTTATTCGTCTTTCATCAAACCATGTCAGTGGCTTTATACTCTCAGCATCTTCTCACCTCATAGACTTCAGAGGGAAGAAATAGTTCCTCATTCAGAAGAATTTAGTCACCAGCACAATCATGGATGACGTGTTAAGCTTGGGAAAAGCCCAGGGCGGCGGGTGCTTGTTAGAGGGAGCACAGGAGAAGAGGGTGCGTCCGCAGGCGGGATGGGGTGGCTCAGGAACCAGGATTTAGTGCGCGAGCGGTGGGTACATGTATCGGGATCCTTTTCACTGGACGTGAGTTGTGACATTGGGCAATCCTGTAATCGCAGTGCTTCTCTGTGATCTCCTTTGTTTCACTTTATGTGTTTGGAGGACCAAACGTACAGTAGATTGACTCTGTAAAAGAAGCCGTAGGCATGACCTCAGGACCCACGCGGGGCTGGGAGCTGACTTCGCTGCATGTGACCCACACGTTGCTTCCCACATCATTGGAAGGACTTGCACAGCTTCTTTGTATGTGTGCGTAGCTTCTTTCTTTTTTGTTAAATTTTCACTCAAGGATATGCTTTTATTGATTTTAGAGACAGAAGGTGGGGAGAGAGAGAAACAGTGATGTGAGAAATACCAACTGATTGCCTCCCTTACTCGCCCTGACCAGGGATCGCACTCACAGCCTAGTATGTGCCTGACTGGGAATCAAACCTGCAACCTTTCTGGGACAACACTGCAGTCAGCCGAGCCCCCGCCAGGGCAGTGTGTGCAGTGTCCGCTGTAGAGTCGCACCAAACATTTTAAATGTCTCCTGTCGGACATTTGAACTGTCCGCTGTTCATGGCCATTTCAGCAGCACTTTGATGAGCAACTTTGTAGGTGAGTCTTTGCAAAGCTCCCTGATTATTTGTTTTAGGAGACATCGCTAGCGCTTTGGTAAACGTTGCCAAACTGCCTTTCGGAAAGCCTAAACTCATTTACAGCACACTGGGTACTGTCAGCGTGTTTGGTGGCTCCTTTTCTGCAGCCCTTTCTAACATCTTGCTCTGCCAAACTTTGGGAAGAATTCCATGTTCTCTTTTTTCTAACTCACCTCTTAGGAGGAAACTCTCCTAACGTGGGGTGTGTTACAGTGCTGTTCTGAGCTAGCTGTTGGGTCATTGGAGTCTTCCCTGGGCCATGGAGAATGCACGGTGCCGAAGGAGCCCGGCCCCTGCATCCTCGTGGGGGTGGCGCCTCACCGCTGTCAGCCTGTGGCTGAGGGGCTCTTCTCAGAGCCGTGGTGGTGAAACACCCATATAGGCAGACCTACACATTGATGCTAAGACTCTCCACCAGAATAAAGTTTACGCCTTGCTGCAGGCTGAGAGGTTGCTTAGCATTTCTTAGCAGGAAAGTTTAATTACGGTGTGTCCATTGTTTCAGCATCATGCTGCTTCAGTATAGTATAAACAGAACTTGTAGGCACTGGGGAACCACGACGCTCCCGTGGCTCCCTTGCTGGTGACATTAGCTCTGTAGGGATGGCCTGGGACCCGAGCCCAGTGTCTCTGTGTGGTTTGCCCGTCTGATCAGTGTGCTTTGGTGACAGTCCTGGTAGAACAGTGTTGAGAAGAATAGAGGGACCCAGGATGTGAAGCATCCGCCGTGAAATCGATTGGCCTCTGGAGGGTCTTGCCCCTCTTTGCTTTACTCTAAGGACTGCACGTGGTGATGTTCCATTGGTGCTAAATGATGAGTTGGTTAGACTGGTAACATGGAAGGAAAGTATTTCTCTAGAGACGACTGATTCTGATCCCAGAATCAGTGAGGGAGGGAGAATGAGAGAAAAGAAGATGTTTTCTGTTGGAGGAAACTGAGCGCACAGCTCCCGTTTCCAGTGTGGACAGAGCTCACTTGGCAGCATCGGGTTAGGATCCGATTCCTTCTCGGAGAATTAGGAGAGGCACGCAGATCAGGCCTGGCCGGACTTAGGTTACTGGACAGGGATGCAGCCCGTTCTCAGGGAGCTTCGCCCAGGGCTGTCCGCGTGGACTAGAGTGAGCACGCGTGTTTGAAGTGGCCGCCTGCAGGTAGTTTATGCCGCAGAGGGCAGGGGGCTAGCTTGCAGGGGGCAGGCAGTGAGGGGAGGGCTGCGCTCTAGAGGGCAGAGCTGCAGGAGTTGTCCAACCTATTTGGTTGTCACGCTTGTCCATCTGGACAGTTGCAGTGAAAGAAAGGGAATAGGACAGTATGCTGCTCCCTTTCTAGAACTTTCTATTAATTGGGCACCTGACTTGTTACTTTGTGCATACTAATTGATTCAGCTTTGTCCGGCCAGCATGGCTCAGTGTTTGATCGGCGACCTATGAACCAGGAGGTCACGGCTTGATTTCTGTTCAGGGCACATGCCGGGTTTGTGGGCTTGATCCCCAGGATGGGGTATGCAGGAGGCAGCAGATCAATGATTGTCATCATTGATGTTTCTATCTCTCTCTCCTTCTTAAAATCAATAAAAATATATTTTAAACAAATTTATTCAGCTTTTATGAAGCCCCTATAATGTGCCCGACAGTAAAGATACAGAGGTCTCAAGAAGCTCAGCCTAACCAGGGAGACAGAAGAGAATAATTGCTGTTATCATGGTTATTAAGCATGTATCAGGCACGTAATATGTGCCGTTCGTAATCCTCACAGAAACCTGGGTGCACGAGGCAGGCGCTATCCCCCCATTTTCCATCGGGTTGATGAAGCTGAGTTCATCGTCACTCAGTGACAGAGTGGCTGAGAGGGGTTCAGACTCGCCTGGGTGTAGTCTGAGAGGTGGACTCAGATCCCAGGCAATGCTGGGCTCTAGCACAAGTCACTTCACCCTTCTTGTAAACAAAGTAGAACATCTTATCTCACGGGGTTATTTTGTGTATTACAATGAGATCTTACTGATCCCAAAGCCACTAATAATAATTACAGTAGGTTCCCCCTTATCCACAGGTTCACTGTGGTCCAAAAATATTAAATGAAAAAATACCAGAAGTCAACAATGAATACGTTTTAAATTGCATGCCATTCTGAGTAGTGTGATGAATCCTGCTCTGTCCTGCTCTGTCCTGCCCGGGACGTGAATCACACCTATGTCCCACGTATCCACGCTATATAGGCTCCCAGCTGGTTAGTCACTTAGTCGCTGTCTCAGTGACCAGATTGATTATCAGAGAGAGAGGGACACACACACACACACACACACACACGCACAGGGTACACATTCATGTAACTTTTTATGACAGTGTATTGCTACAATTGTTCTATTTTATTATTAGTTATTCTTGTCAATTTCTTACTGCCCCTAATTTATAAATTAAACTTTTTTTTTTTGCATTTCAATCACTTTATTGAAATGTATATCCCTTAGTACTAAAACATAATGGTAGTTGGTTAGGTTACCTCTGCAAACTCAGAATTAACATGGATGTAATTAAAATATTGAAATGTTTGTCATAGGTATGTAAGTATAGGAAAAAACACAGTATATAGAGGTTTCGGTACCTTGCGCAGTTTCAGGCATCCACTAGGGGTCTTGGAACGAGTCCCCGTGAATAAGGGGGACTCCAGTACTGCCAGTACTAGTCTTCCTTACAATGGCATTGTTCTTTCCACAACAGCAGGTGTCTCTGTGCAAACCATTAATGATGCGTCTAAGCTGTGAGAGAGGGTGGTCCTCAGTGGTACTGAGGAAGGTGCATTGTACCCTGGACTGCGAGAGTCAAAGCAAACTTTCCAAAGATGGCGCTCTTTGGGCTGTCCTGAAAAATCAGTAGGAGTTGGCTGGTGGGAAAAGATAGGAAGGGATATTGCAGCGAGAAAGAGGTGTAAGGGGAAAGATGTGAGAAAAAAAATGTGGAATTACCATGTGGGGATAGGTGAATCCTGAGAATGGGACATGGGATAGACAGGTAGCCTGGTCAGATTGTGTAGGGCCTTGGATTCAAAGTAAACTTTTTATTTTAAAACTAGTGGCCTGGTGCACGGATTCGTGCACATTTAAAGGAAAATAATTAGAAGAAATCTATCTATATATACTAGTATTTAAGACTCTAATATGCAAATAGACTGAATGGCAGAACAACTGAACCAAACAACTGGTCGCTATGATGTGTGCTGACCACCAGGGGATGCGTGCAGAACATGGTGGGCGTCGACAGCAGGTGGCAGAGCGTGGAACATGGCGGGCGTTGGCCGCAGCGGGATGATAGAACATGTGAGTGGGGGCGCCAGACCAAGGTGGGGTGCCGGTCACTGTCATCGGGATGAGCCTCTGGTGGTTACTGCAAATTGTTTGCTCCCGTACATTGCGGTCCCACCAGGCGCTCGCACCTGCTGCCGGCGCCAGAGCTGCCACTCGCACCTGCTTCCGGAGCCTGGCACCAGCCCTGGTTGCTTGACACTGTCAGCAGGTGTGAGCAGCGGCTGCCGACCCCATCACCCCTCAGGGCTTCTCCACCTCCCCCTGCTCCTGAGGGGTGATCAGGGTCAGCAGCTGCCTCTCGCACCCACTGCCGGCGATGGCCCCACTTGCACCTGCGGCCGGCTCTGGAGCCGCCGCTTGCACCCACTGCTGGCGCTGGCCCTGCTTGTACCCGCAGCCAGCACTGGAGCTGCTGCTCATATTCACTGCTGGCGCCTGGCGCCAGTCCCAATCACTTGGCGCCCATCTGTGGGTGCAAGTGGCGGCTGCCGGACCCGATCACCCCTGAGGGCTTCTCCACCTCCCCCTGCTCCTGAGGGACGATCAGCCACTCCCAGCCACTGATGGCGTTGGCCCCAATCACTCTGGGCCGGCACCGCCAGGGCATGGGAGCAGTGGGAGCGGGAGCAGGGCTGCTGGCAGACGGGACCAGGGGCCGTGGTGGGAGGGGCCAGGTGGGGGAGCAGAGGATGGGCTGAGACCTGTCCCTGTGCCCACCGCAGCCCCACGGCCCACAATTTCTTTCAGGGTGCAGGAATTCATGCACTGGGCCCCTAGTATTTTAATATTGCTATTTCCTACTTCTCTGTAATGGGTGCTGGTCACCGTCTGCGGGGCGATTGGGCTCCTGGCCTGCTCCCTAGTGCCTGGGAGCTGGGCGGCAGCCCTGCTGCCCCCTGGTTGCTGTCTGCGGGGCAATTGGCGGGGCGATCAGGCCCTGCTCGCACGTGCCTTGGCATGGTGCCGCCCGCTCACCTGCTCCATCATCCTGCCATCATCCTGCTCTCTTCAGGGCCCATCGGGGCCAGCAGTGCCTCCACTGCCGCCCGCTGCCAGCGCCGCGTCGCTGACGTCCGCCATGTTCCATGCTGTTCCCTGATGGTTAGTGCACGTCATAGTGAGCGGTCGAACTCCGGGTCGAGGGGACAATTTGCATATTAGGCTTTTATTATATAGGATAGTTTTAGACTTACAGAAGTTACAAAGATAGTACAGAGAATTCCCATATACCCCACACCGTGTTTCCCCTGTGATTAATGTCTTACATTAGTATGGTACATTTGTTAGTTATGAACCAATATTGGTTCAGTGTTATTACCTGGAACCATACTTTATTCAGATTTCCTTAGTGTTTCCTTGATGTCCTTTTTCTGTCCCAGGATCCCATCCACGATTCACATTGCATGTGGCTGTCATGTCTCATCAGGCAACGCTTGGCTGTGACAGTTCCTTACAGCCTCCCTTGTTTTTGATGACTCAGCAGTTTTGAGGAGTATGAGTCAGGATTTTTGTAAAATGTTCTTCAGTTGGGACCTGTCTGATGTTTTCTGATTATTAGACTGAGGGATTGGGGAGGAAGACCACAGAGGTGCAGTGATGCCATTCTCATCACACCCCCTCGGGCAGGTGCTGTTGCCGTGAGGCAGTCATGTCAGTGGAGACCGGCATCACAGTGTTTGTCGGGTCTCCTCACCCCACCCACTCAAGTTCACGTCTAAAGTTCATCTTTCAGCTTTAGAACAGCTCAGCTGTGATCCTACTACCCAGAGCTACATGTTGTTAGTTATTGTCCAGAATTTTAGTTTTGTTCTTTTTCAAAACTCCTTAAATTGGACATGTGTTTTTAAAAAAATAAATACTTTTATTGATTTCAGGGAGGAAGGGAAAGGGAGAGAGAGAGATAGAAACATCAATGATGAAAGAGAATTATTGAGTGGCTGCCTCCTGCACGCCCCACACTGAGGATCGAGCCGCAACCTGGGCATGTGCCCTGCCTGGGATTCAAATCGTGACCTCCTGGTTCATAGGTCAACACCCAACCACTGAGCCCCACTGGCCGGGCTGGACGTGATTTTATTTTTTATAGGTAGTGCTTATGAAATCTTGTTTACTTACTTCCCTTTTTCTTTTTGAGTATCAACCTTCCTTTCAGGATGTTTTTCCTGAGCATGTTCTTTAGTGCACGTAAAGTCTCCATAAGTGTCCATGTGAAATGTCCCATGTTGCCCATGTTTCTGCACGTTTTGCAGGGTACACGCTAAGATTTCCTCTCAGTCGATAAAGATAGTATTCCACTATCTCTGGCTTCTATTGCTGGTGGTTTGTCATTTATTTGGAGGTGATATTTTTCTCTCAGTCTTTAAAAATTTATATCAACCTTTACTCTAAAGGCCTTTATATATATATGATTTTTACAAAGATATATATATATATATATATATATATGATTTTTACAAAGAGGAAGGGAGAGGGATAGAGAGTTAGAAACATCGATGACTGGGGATCGAGCCTGCAACCAAAGGTACATATCCTTGACCAGAATTGAACCCTGGACCTTTCAACACGCAAGCAACGCTCTGTCCACTGAGCCAAACCGGTTAGGGTTTGTTTGTTTTGTTAATCTTCACCTGAGGATATTTTTTCCATTGATTTTGAGAGACTGAGAGACACAGTGAGAGAGGGAGAGAGAAAGACATTGATGTGAGAGAGAGGCAGCGATTGGTTGCCCCCTGCATGGGCTCTGACTGGGGATCCAACCTGCAACCTGGGTATATACACTGACGGGGAATCGACAATGCTCCAACCAGCTGAGCCACCCTGGCCAGGGCTAGGGTCCTCATACATTTTCACTCCTAGCCCTGCAATCAACCATTTCTTCAAGGAGGCTTTGTTCCTTTTACTGGTGAGTGGTATTTAGAAACCAAGATCTGGGAGCTAGATGTGCTCAGTTGTTGCTGAATTGTCATTGCATCAGGACCCTCCCAGTGGGCAGAACTGGGAAGTAACTGTGTGTGTGTGTGTGTGTGTGTGTGTGTGTGTGTGCACGCAGACAGGTGCACACACCCATATTTCTAATTCTGTTGAAAACTATGATTTCCTATTGTTACTCTCATTTCTCTGGAGCACCACAGAACTTTTTCTAGCCCCCCTTTCTGTATTTGCAACTCATTCACTCAGAGTAATTGTTTTGAGATTCATTCATGTTACATGCTTAAATAATTCGTTCCTTTTTATTGCTGAGTGTTATTCCATTGAATGGATATACCACATTTTAGGAAATTGTGAGACTTTCCCCCCAAGTGATAGTGTCATTTTACATTCCCACCAGCAGTGCATGGGAGTTCCAGTTCCCCCACAGTATCGCTACACCTTGGTGTTGTCAGACTTTTTCATTTTAATTTGCAATCCAAATGAAAAATTTAAATAATTTTCAACTACAGTTGACGTACACTATTATATTACTTTTGGGTATATATACAATATTTATATAATTTACAAAGTGATCACCCCAATAAGTCTAGTACCCACCTGACACCATCTATAATAATAAAAGGGTAATATGCTCCAGACATCCTTCTGGACAAAGCCGGGGCCGGAGCAAAGCCTCCTGGGTCCCGGGTGCCTGCTGGTGGCCAGGAGCGAAGCCCGGGCCCTGGATGCCAGAGGAAAGCCGGTGCCCGCAGCTGGGGGAAGGAAGGCCTACTCTTGCACGAATTTTCGTGCATTGGGCCTCTAGTAGTTATTATAATATGATTGACTATATTCCCTGTGCTGTACTTTACCTCCCTGTGACTGTTTTTATAACTGGCAATTTGTACTTCTTAATCTCTTACCATTTTTCTTTCTTTTTTTTTTCCTTCCATGTTGCAACCATCAAAATGGTCTCTGTATCTATGAGTTTGCTTCTTTTTTTTAAAAATATATTTTATTAATTTTTACAGAGGAGGAAGAGAGAGGGGATAGGAGAGGTAGAAACATCGATGAGAGAGAAGCATCAATCAGGCTGGCCTTCCTGCACTGGGGATGTGCCCTGGCAACCAAGGTACATGCCCTTGACCGGGAGTTGAACCGGGGACCCTTGAGTCCGCAGGCCGACGCTCTATCCACTGAGCCAAACCGGTTCGGCAATCTCTTACCATTTTTCATACTCCCAAACCCCCTTTCCATGTTGCATCATCAAAAATGATCTCTGTATCTATGAGTTTGTTTCTTTTTTTAAAAATATATTTTATTAATTTTTTACAGAGAGGAAGAGAGAGGGATAGAGAGTTAGAAACATCGATGAGAGAGAAGCATCGATCAGCTGCCTCCTGCACATCCCCTACTGGGGATGTGCCTGCAACCAAGGTACATGCCCTTGACCGGAATTGAACCTGGGACCCTTCAGTCCCCAGCCCGACGCTCTATCCAGTGAGCCAAACCGGCTAGGGCTATGAGTTTGTTTCTTTATTTTCTTTTTTAGATGCCACATATGAGCACAGTCATATGGTATTTCTCTTTCTCTGTCTGACTTATTTCATTTAGCATAATACACCCTGGGTCTATTTCTGTTGTTACAAATGGCAAGATTTCCTTCTTTCTTATGGCACCTGTAAACCTGTGGGCCTATTGTTTTGTATCACAGATTTTTAAGAATTTGAATGTACTTCAGAAGTTTCCTTTCAAGTTAAATCTTTTTAATAAGTTATTCTTTAATAAAGTTTTTGAAGGAATCTTTGGATTCCTGTTGTCAAGCCACCCAAAAGTTACACTGGCAGAGAAGGGTGAGGGTATGCTAAGCACACTGGAAGGATTCGTGTTTTAAGAGGATCTTGGAGCAGCTTCCCTTTTGGATGTCCCGTGTCTGAAAACAGCATCCTCGTGTACAGCGCTTTAAGCCTTGGGCGCCGAGCCAGTCTGAGTTCATTCCTGACTACGTCCTTCCAGCTGAGTGACCCGTTTAGTTTCTTTACCTAATAGTATGAGATAATAATGACACCTGCTTGTTAAGTAAGTAATAACGTAGGAAAAGACTTAGAAATGTTTCCGGGGACTTCAGAGCCTGCTCCACGCCCCCATCACCTGTGGTGGTGGTGAGTATGCAGGCTCCATTGGCGGATTTCAGTCCAGGGAGGGTGATGGCATCAGGGTCTGAGCTTAGAAGATCAGAGCCGTGTTGTTGATCATTGCTTCACATGTCTGTTAAATTACAATAAGCATTCTCTCTTTTTATTTCTACCAAGCCAAATTAGCAAGACGCAGTCAAGAACGAGACAATCTTGGCATGCTGGTCTGGTCGCCTAATCAGAATCTATCAGAAGCAAAACGTAAGTTTTAAAGCACCTTTATTTTTCACTGTCTTTCTTAATGCAAAGTTTTAAATAAGTTTTGTAGCTGAAAGTCCCTACATATATGACAGTTCTCTTACATTTTTAAAATAATTTCAAGAGTTTGAAAGTATATATCTTTACTGTGGCCTGTCATGATGACTGAAAGATTTCTAACCTGTGGTTTCACAATCTGCTTTTTTCAAAATGCTGTACAAGCTAATACTGAAGTAACTAGGAGGAAAGGCCTAGAGGGGAAGGAACATCGTAATGCAATGTGTAACCCCACCAGCTGGGAGTTTATAGGGTTATAAAGATGAAGAGTTGAACAGATTTCTAATTTGAAAGATTACAAAGGTCAAGTGTGAGATTTTGGAATGGGCATCGTAATACAAGACGTAAGCCTAGCTAGAAGTAAAACTTTGGAATTGGCTGTTTGTTTCATGTGTTTAAAATCTTACTAGGATGACTATTCTGGGCTAGTTTGGATTTGTGTTGGAGCGGGGGCAGGTAGGGGACCTAAAGCTATTAGTAATATTAGTTGTATTTTCAGAGTTTGCTTCAAATTTTCTGTCCCTTTTGCTCAAATGATGCCATTCAAAAATAATTTTATATCTGATATATTACCGTACCTTTGCCATTTTCAAAGTTTTTATTTTCTTCATAACTTAAAAGAGAGAAGAAAAACTAAATTTCCACCCTAGTTGGTTTGGCTCAGGGGATAGGGCATCAGCCTGTAGACTGAAGGGTCCTTGGTTCGATTCCTGGTCAGGGCACATGCCTGGGTTGCAGGCTTGATCCCCAGTAGGGGGCATGCAGGAGGCAGCCAATCAGTGATTCTCTCTCATCATTGATATTTCTATCTCTCTTTCCTTCTCCCTTCCTTTCTGAAATAAATAAAAATATATATTAAAACAAAGAGAAAAACTAAATTTCCTTTGAGAATTTTTTAGTGGGGGTCTGGATGGAATTAATGGGAACTTGGAAATCACATGCAAAATTTTTCTAGAGAAATGACATTGGATTTTTAAAAGGGTCTTTGACCAATAAAAAAGGCTAATAATCAATTTTATAAAACAGGACAGGGCTTTAGCAATCAGTGGTGAATGCTCATCAGAAAACTGTTAAGTTGTGAGCAGAGGCTGGACTCTTAGGCTTTGACGAGGGTTTCCCACATTATGTGCTACAGCATTAAATCGTGTGAACACATTACTGCCAAGCAGTGTGACGATGCTGCATGTTAAATACCCCCCCTTCTTGTACTCAGGATCTGTGTTAGCATTTAAGATGCAAAGAGCTCTCATGGTAAAGAAACATGTTTAATTTTGGTCAAGAAGGATCCTTTTTGGTGTAATATCCTCTCTGGAACATGGGAAACTGAACTGCTCTTACTAATGCTAAATTTAGCAATAATAATCTATAATAATAAAAGTATAATATGCTAATTACACTGGACAGCCGAACAGCCTTTCGGACGTCCTTCCAGATGAAGCCATGGTGGCGGGGGCCGAGGCAGAGGCAGTTAGGGGCGATCAGGCAAGCAGGCAGAGTGGTTAGGGGCGATCAGGCAGGCAGGCGAGCAGTTAGGGGCGATCAGGCAGGCAGGCAGAGTGGTTAGGGGCGATTAGTCAGGCAGGCAGGCGAGTGGTTAGGAGCCAGTGGTCCCAGATTGCGAGAGG